GTAGGTAAGTATTTGTATATATATATATATATATATATATATATAAATTCCAAAGTAGTGTAGTAATGAAACACATTTACACATTAGTAAATGCAAACAAGATTTAAAAAGAGAGATATATTCAGCAAATATAAGTGGTCATGTGTTGTGGCAATTGTAGTACAAATGTTCTACTGCAGGCAATGGCCATTTACATCTACATATCCATAACACTATCAAAAAAATTTATCAAAATATGAGTATACTTTTTTGATGGAGGGATCTACCCAAGTAGTGATGAAAGCCTCTGCTGTCCATAGAAACCATACTTGTTGTCTCAAGTCTAGGGCAGGTACAAATGTTGAAATACCAGCATGACCACATTTACAACAGTCTCTGTCTGTTTTAAAGGGTGTTATCTGGAGTTTAGATGCCTATAGATCATGTCTGGGCTGAGTTCTGTGAGTCATACACATTCAGGCAGTGACATAACACATAATTCAAAACACAAGGTTTTCATGTTACCTGCGAGAGGAGGTCCAATTAGCAGCGTGACGCTTTCCATGATAGACAACAGGCCAAGCGCAGATGGGAATCGACTCATCTCCACCGTGTCCATCAGGACGGTGAACATCAGTGAGCCTACCAGGCTCATGGACAGTCCATACGTCAGGACAAAGATTAACAGCACTGGGAAACTGGCAGAAATGCAGCAGATACTATTACTGAGTCCATTTATGAGGAGTGCGGCTGAGAAAACGTAGATGTGTCGACCTTTAAACCAGGGCAGGCTGAAGAGCACTCCGACGGGAGGCCGCACAAAGATGTTGACAAAGCCCAAGATGGAGAGCAGCAGGGCGGCTCTGCTTGGATCCATTTTGTGAGCTGTTGCATACGGGACCAGGTAAATAAGCGGCACCACAAACCCCAGCATCATCCAAGTGATGCCCAGTGAAAACACCCGAAATCGCGGGTTACTACAGAAGAGGTCAAAGGCCATGTGTCTTCTGAGGAACGATGCTAAACCCTGAAAGATCCCCAGCACACATCCCTTTTTGCCTGCGGGTCTGGGACTGTTGCACATCACCTCTGACTTTCTGGGCTTGCGAGGCCTGGCGGGTCTCATAACGGCTCCGCAAACACAGCAGTTGAGCAGCACAGCACCGAGTACC